TCCAGCAGTATGTCGAAAACGTCGGGCGGTTTCTAGTCGTTTCAGTCTGGTATGGGGGTTCCAAGTGAGTCGTTTGTCCAAGTGGAGTCCTAGGTATCGGATTTGTTCGACAGGAATAAGAGGGCTATTGTTGAAGGATACTGTAGGACAGGAAGTCATAGGTTTACGACGAAGAGTGAAGCTATTTTAAATAAATCTGGAAAAGGCTATTCCCTGAATCAGGAAATAATAATTTCTCACTATTTTTATATGATTGACTTAAAACTCTATGCAAAGAACGGGAGAGATATGAGAACACTTCTCGAGTTGGTAAGTTCATTCACTGAAGATATTGGGATGAAGTTAGGCACAGACAAATGTGCAACCCTTAATGTCCACATAGGAAGATATAGTGATTCAGTTAATATTGAACTTAATAATAGTGATGTCATCAAGCAACTTCAGTTAACTGACTCCTACAAGTATCTTGGTATCTCATAGCTGCTTAAATTCAAAAAAGAGGTCAAAGAAACTTTTGAAGAAGAATTTAAAAACCGGGCCAGGATACTCCTAAAAACTAATTTATCGGCAGGAAATTTAATAAAAGCCTTGAATACCTGGGCGATTCCTGCTGTTACATATTCCTTTGGAATAATAAAATGGTGCGACACGGATTTGGAAAAGATGGACCACTTATTAAGGACGGAAATGATAAAATCACGGCAACTTCACCCAAATTCTTCAGTGCCAAGACTATATTTGTCTAGAAAACATGGAGGTAGAGGACTTATTAGTTTAATGAAGGCATGCCGTGAACAAGAAGCCAGGCTTAGAACCTACTTCATGAAAAGTACTTCGACAGTGCTGTCGACCGTTGCTGCCCTTGACTGCAACTATACAGCACTTAATATGCTTCGGCAAGGACCAATGACAATGCCAACCGAGGAGAGCCTCACAGAATCATGGAAGTGTAAATCACTTCATAGAAGATTTTACAATTCCCTGAAAACACCTGGTATAAATTTAGAAGCCTTAGTCTGTTGGTTGACTACAGGAAAAATGATTCCAGAGACAGAGGGATTCCTTCTGGCGATACAAGAACAGGTAATGGCAACATCCTCCTACAGGAAGTATATTCTACATGAAGCAATCGATGGCAGATACCGTCTATGTAAAGCCATAAATGAATCGATTTAACATGTTACATCTAGCTGCCAGGCATCAGCGGGTAAAGAATACCTAGGGAGGCACAATAATGCGGCAAAAATCGTGCATCAGGCTCTGGCACAAAAATATAAATTAATAACAGGCCATCAGCCTTTTTAGAGATATTAGCCGCAGGCAATATTAGAAAAAGAGGATGTCAAGCTATACTGGGATCAAGCTATGATAACTGACCATAATATTCCCCACAATAGACCAGATATACTGCTGGTTAACAAAGAAACAAAAAAAGCCATCATTATCGAAGTTGGAGTTCCTGCTGATGATAATGTAGCTAAAACATTAAGTGAAAAAATTCTGAAATATCAAGAGCTTTGTGAGGAATTAAGGCACTTATACAGGCTGGTGGAAGTAAAAGTACTACCGATTATCGTATCCAGCAATGGCCTGATTCCTGAAGATACCATAAAATCAATTAAGGTACTTGGATTAAGCTGGGAACTTCAGGAAATCCAGAGACCGGTAATGCTGGGAACCGCCAGCATTGTTCGAATTTGTTTTAATATTTCAAATTAAATAGTTAATAAACTATACCCTTGACATCGATCCGGGTCAGTGGATTATCCGGCATAAAGTCGAGAATTGAAAAAATAAAATAATAATAATCTCCGAGACAGAAGGATTTCCATTCGCCATCCAAGACCAAGTTATTGCTATTAGATCATATAGAAGGCATGTTCTAAAAGACGCAACAACTACGGATAAATGTCGATTATGCTCAGCGACGCTGGAATCAATCCAACATATCACAGGTGGGCGTGGAGTGTTAGCTGGCACAGAGTATCTCCGGAGGCATAACAATGTGGCTAGAATTTTTCATCAGGCTCTGGCGGTGAAGCTCAACTTATTAGATGAAGCTCTACTGGGATGAATCGATTATAACTGACCATACTGTGCGTCACAATAAACCAGATATCCTTTTGATAGATGTGAGAGAGAAAAGGGCAGAGCTTATTGATGTCGGGATCCCCAATGATAATAATATAAGCTCCACTGTTGGAGAAAAACTGAGAAAATATCAGGAACTGGCAATAGAATTGAAGGAATTATATCATTTGGGGAACGTCACCACCACTCCAATTATAATATCCTCCAATGGACTGATACCAAAGACAACAGTGACAGGCACGATGGGATTAAAATTACCTCTTGAAGTGCTGAAAGAGGCTCAACACTCAGTTCTCTTAGACACAGCACGTATTGTTCGAAAATTTTTAAACGTCTAAAAAATAATAAATATTAATATGAAGGTGGCTGGACTTCTGGTCTCCCACCTCAGAAACTTACTCCGCAAAGCGAGAATAAAGAATGGAAATAATAATAGTAATGTTTTTATTTATTCTGGGAGGAATCCCTTTAGAATAATTAACAAGGACAGAAATGTGGGCTTTTAAGCCTCAGATATATATACATGAGTTTACAAAGTTAAATAACAGATATAATAGAGAAAAGAAAGTTATCTTCTAGATTAAATCAATTAAGAAAAAAATAAATAAATGAAAGAACAATAGGATGAAAATAATTGGAAATAAATTAACAATATATATATATATATATTTACATAAGTTTCTATTTACAATTTTAAAGTAGGGAGAGTATTGGAGTGACAAAGCAATTTATCAAACGTTTTAGTTTTGCCTCGAGATCCCCAGAGACGCCTCCATATACCGTGCAGCAATAGTCGAAGTGGGAAAATAATAAGGAGGTGACCAGGTGTCTACGGATTTCAAAAGGGAAAACGTGTCGAGGCTGTAAGTGTTTTAGGGTGGAAAATGTATGTCGGGAGATATTGGATACATGGTTTTTCCAGGAAAGGGTTTGATCAAAGATTATTCCAAGGTTTTTGATGGTGGAATAAATTATCATGTAGGAACAGGGTTGGAATGTTAGGAACAGTTTTGAGGAGGTGATTGGAGCCTATTAGGATTGCCTTGGTCTTTTCCGATTCAGCTTCAGCTTGTTAGCTCCTGCTCAGCCATATATTCTATTTAAACCTTCTTGAAGCTTTTTTTGTGGCGGCTAATAGATCAGAAGGGGGAGGGGAAGGAAAGGTATATTTGGAAATCGTCGGCATAGATGTGGTATTGGGAGTGATGGATCAGGAGGGGAAGGTCATTAATGTAAATAGCAAACAGAGTAGCAGATAAGGAGGAACCCAGAGGGACACCACCTGAGAGGGGAAGTGTCTATGAAGGAGGTTGACTACATACTGGGATCAATCGGGAAGGAAGGATTTTAACCAATGCAGGACACTGTTGGATAGAGGAAGACATTGCAATCTGGTAAGAAGGATGTTATGATCAACTGTATCAAACGCTTTGGAAAAATCTAGGAGGATGAGGATAGTAAGGTTTTGGTGTTCAATGGAGTTTTGGAGGTCATGGGTTATTTTAAGGAGGGCAGATTGCGTTGAGTAACCCGGTCGAAAGCCAGATTGGAATGGATTCATGAGAGAACGTTCTTCTAGAAATTTGGAAAGTTGATTTTGGACAAGGCTTTCTAGTGGTTTTAAGAGGTTGGAAAGAAGAGAAATCGGACCGAAGTCGTTCAGTGAGGAAGGGTAAGAAGTTTTATTCAGACTAGTGCAGGTCAGACTAGTGCAGTTTTTCAGGAAGAGCGAAATATGGAATTTTGCAATGAAAAGTTGTAGATATGATAAAGTGCTGGAATAAGGGTAAGAAGGCTGGATTTTATTAGTTTCACTGGAATATTATGAGGAATATAATCATTGGTGTGAGATTTTAGGATAGTGGAAAGTAGTTCGTCGTAGGACACACGGAAAAAAAAGAAGTTTTCAGGATTGAAATTTTGATGTTCAATATCATGAGAAGGAGAAGGATTAGGAGCAAAATATAAGAAATGGTCATTAAGATCATCTGGAATCACAGGGACGGAAATGAGGTTACTGGAATCTGGTAGGGATAGATTACGAAATATTTTCCATTTTATTTATTATGAAGTATATTCCATTTTACTGAAATTTACTTCTCTCCTGTAACATCAAGCCTCAATTCGTGGACAAAAGTCAACAGAAATCATAAGGAAGTTATATTACCTACGGCAATAAAACAAGAAACTTCCAAAAACATATTATTTGCAGTTGCTAAGTTTTATTTTATTTTTATTTTTATTTTTTAGCAGTTTTTGACCAACAATATTATATATAATTCTAGAAAAAAAATCTTATTTATATTATCACAAAAAAACACACAAAAAAAGTTATTAAAAAACATTACCCTACACTACCCTTTTTTTCTGTTCATGAGGAATTCTCGTACAGATTTCGGTGGCTGGATACCAGGGTTAATTGGTTAAAAAATACGCTCAAAATACAACGATTTTTACTAAATTTGTCAAAAACAGATATATATTCAGGGGTTAAAGGTGAAAAATAAAAAAACAACCTAAAAATATCAGTTTTCGATTGTCAAAAATAATCCCAAGGTGGCACACGTTATATTTTTGTTTTTAATATGTTCTTAACCATTTAAAAAAGATTAAATAAAACTTTTCCCACGTTTTTAGCAACATAATCCCAGTTTCGATCTTCAAATGACTAATTATGCACTTTAACTAATACTTTTGAAATCAGCAGCTGTGGAATGGCAGAAAATTTATTTAACATATACTTCCACAATTAATGCTCAAACCTTCTCTTAAAATGAGTACCCTTTTTTGGTCCAGGTTACAGGACTACTACACTATTTGTCTTTATAACTATAAGACTTTATAAATATCTAAGACTTTAAAACAACAAAAAATTATATAACTATTTAAAACAAAAAGAAGGTAAATACCTTTTCAATTCTTGTTCACTGATTTCTTCCAGAGACTAGAAAAAATAAAATAAAAACATATAAGCAGATTAACAAATACATTTCAAAGATATTATAAATAAATTTCAGTAAATATTTCAAATTAATTTAATTATCCAAAGACCAGCGGTGTGGAATCTCTACTACTCATGGTAGAATACTAGTGACTGAATCTCTAATCTTCTGGGTCACATCCAACAATAGTTATTCCATTTTGTCTCCTATGGACCCCACTTATTGTCCTATATCTCTTAAGAAACGACTAGACATCCTTGATATATTCATTAATTCCCAGATACCCTCCTTTCAATTCACAATCAAATTGTTAGACGACCTTTCACCGGTTTTGCTTTTCGTGCACTCAAATCCTATTCCTAAACCCTTACCTATATCGCTGATAACAGGACAATCAAACTGGAACAACTTTCGTCATGACCTAAACAACAATTTCGACTTATAAATTGCACAAAAAACAAAACACACATTGATTCTGTCATTGACGAATTCATAAGATCTACAGAAATTGTCATAAATAATAACAAAAAATAACACAACACACCACTAAATTAGAAATTACTATGAATTTTTTTAGAGCTTTACAAACACCTAACTACTAGCGAGAAGTCATAATGGATAACCATTAAAAAGGTACTCAATTTCAAATCCTTTCACCATCCACTCCTCACACTAAATTATAGACCTGGTCAAGATCCGGTCTGGTTCTGGTTTAGTGAACACTTTCTCAATACCTTTTACCCTTATCTCCTGACATTTTTAATCCAATCTATCTTTTTTCGGATATTTTTCGTAAAAAAGTGATTTCAAAACACGAAAAGCCATATGAATACCCATTCGCTTACTGTCTTATCTCTCTGGGGCTCGTCATGAGCAAAATCCTAGAAAAACTATATTAGAAAGCACTTTACCCAATCCTAGATTCAAATCAAGTAATTCCAGAACATCAGTTTGGATATTGAACATCTCATTCCACTAGCTAGTAGTTCCATCGGCCATCGTGTGGTGGATGTTATTTCCTCCACATTGCAGCAAGGAATTGAAGCCTTTTATCGATGCAGAACAGGCTTTTGATCAAGTCTATCATGTAGGATTGCTATAGAAACTTCGTCAAATTCTTCCCCCTACATATTTCCTAATCATTCATTCCTACCTAACTGATAGAACATTTAAAGTAAATCATAGTTCTGCGTATTCATCTTTGTTTTCCTAGTCAGCAAGGAATGTACTGCATGGCAGCTTTTCTCGATGAAGAACAGTCTTTTAATCTAGTTTATCATGCAGGATTGCTATAGAAACTTCGTCAAATTCTTCCTCCCAACATATTTTCTAATCATTCATTCCTACCTAACTGATAGAACATTTAAAGTAAATCATAATTCTGCGTATTCATCTTTGTTTTCCTAGTCAGTAAGGAATGTACTGCATGGCAGCTTTTCTCGATGCAGAACAGGCTTTTAATCTAGTTTATCATGCAGGATTGCTATAGAAACTTCGTCAAATTCTTCCCCCTACATATTTCCTAATCATTCATTCCTATCTAACTGATAGAACATTTAAAGTAAATCATAATCCTGCGTATTTATCTTTGTTTTCCTAGTCTGGCGGTATTCATGAAAGGAGCATCTTAGGTCTCATTTTCTATACTGTTTATACAGCTGATATCCCAACCCATGCTACTACTGTCTTACTGCTTACGCTAGCAACACATGTCTTTCTATGATGACACAATTTTTGCATCCCAATCTCTGCAAGATACACATTTCAGCTAATGAAAAATGGTGTCAAAATTATAGAATCAAAATAAATAACAATAATATAATATAATAATAATATTATTATACTATTTTTTAAATTTTTTTTTATTAACGAAATTTACAACTGTAATTAATAATAAATACAACAAGTAAATATGAACAAGTAATATGACATGTACAACATGAGGAGAAACTACCCATTGGTAGCACTCCAATTATATTTCTATATTAGAAGGTCCCGAGGCCATCTTCTTTTTAGAGGCCTCGGAGGGTTATCAGGAATAGAAGAGGAAGTAAGGTTGGAAACGAGAGGGTTCGGATGGTTCAGAAGTTTATTATGAAAGGACAGGTATCTGGATTGAGCTAAATCGAAAACATATGGCACATTAAGGTAATTATGGATGATTTTATTTGTGACAAAGTAGGGAGCATTAAGGATTTTGGATTGTAGGGATTGGATACGAGAGGAATTTGATGGTTTAGTAGAGCCCCAAAGCTCGATCCCGTAAGTCCAAATAGGCCTTATTATAGTAATATATATGAGTCTTTTGTAAATAGTTGGCAGTTTAGAGCGTTTGTCTAGTCCTGGAGTAGTCGGAAAAGTCGGGCGGTTTCTAGTCGTTTCAGTCTGGTATGGGGGTTCCAAGTGAGTCGTTTGTCAAGGTGGAGTCCTAGGTATCGGATTTGGTCAACAGGGATAAGTGGGGTATTGTTAAAGGATACTGTAGGACAGGAAGTCATAGGTTTACGACGAAGAGTAAAGGTAATTTGATGGGATTTATTGGAGTTTATTTTAATCCTCCAGTTTTGACACCATTTTTCAAGACTTGTGATGTGTGATTGAAGAATTTGGGATGCAATAGATGGATCGTTATTGACTGATAGGATACATATGTCATCGGCATATGTGGTGATGACAGTGTTGGAATGTCAGCTGTATAAACTGTATAAAGGATAGGACCTGGGATACTACCTTGAGGAACACCAGCAAACTGAGAAAAAAAGAGATGAAAAAGCATTGTTATGATTGATTTCGAAGAATCTGTCAGTAAGGTAGGAACGGATAATGAGGAAGTATGTAGGTGGTAGGAATTTACGGAGTTTGTACATCAGCCCGGGATACCAGACTCTATCAAACGCCTGTTCAACGTCGAGAAAGACTCCCGTGCAGTACATTCCGCGCTCCAATGTAGAGGAGACTACATCTACCACACGATGGAATTGCTATTATATTATTATTATTAAAATAAATCCAAACAAATTAAATTTACCCATCGTCGAAAACCAACTACATCCTGTGCTATAGTATTCTTTAAAAATACTTCATCCCTGCCGAACAATTCTGTTACTTAGGACTACATCTTGATAAACCTCTTACTTAGAATCCACATAAGAGATTGAAAGGACAATAAAAACTTGAAAATTCGATGAGGACAAAACACAACTTTCACTTAACACCCTACTTCCAGTATAAATTAATTTTAAACAAAGTAATAAACTTTAAGAATATTACTTTAATAATAAACATAAACCATTGACAATATATTTTTTTTTCGGATGCTCTACAGACCATGTAGATCTTAGGCCAAGCAATGAGCTCTTCTTACAAACGTATAATAGAAAACGTTAAATTTTGCGTCAAACGAGTACCTAAACTTAAGAATTTGGTTAAATCCTATGATCGATAACCACGGTCAACGAACGTTCATTTTTCCAAGTTCCAAGTTGGTCAAAAACTGGGACAAATTATTATTAATGGCCCTGCATCTTGGAAACAAGTTCTCTAAGATAAAAAGCTAATAGAATGAAAGTTTTTGAGTGTCAAATTCTGCGTCCACTGAGTACTAACAATTTTAATGTAGATCGATCATATCTATCGAATCGGGATTCATTACTTTTTCATTAAATTCATTGTTATTTTTCTCTCACAATCCTTCGCTGCAAAGAGGTGGAAAAGAGTCCATACTGTATATTCTAGACTTTTAACAAGAATAACTCAGTAAAATAGACTACCATCCATACTGCTGAAAAGTTTAAAATCACAGATATCTATATTACCGATTTCCAGCCATTGTTATTCACTACCGATTTCGAGCGGAGTAAGTGACCTAAATTAAAACTGTTGTTAATCAGTGGACGTGAAATTTTAAGCTCTACAAATTTTATTCCATGTGTTTTCCTCTTAGAGAACTCATTTCCTAGGTGCAAGGCCATTAATAGTAATTTGTCTCAGTTATTGACGAAATCAGTGTTCGTTGAACGTGGTTATCGACCATAACACATTACCAAATCATTAAGTTTAGGTACTCGTTCGACGCACAATTTAACGTTATTTATTTCCTAAAAATGTTTTACGCTTTAATGAACCGTTCAGGAGTTATAGATGAAAAATTAAAAACAAAATCTGGCTTTTTTGGCTGTAAAACGTTTTCCCTTGGTGGCACCCGTTAATAATTTCTTTTATACATGTCTCAACCCACATATACAGAACTTCTATCAGGATTCCTAAACAACTATATTCTGCCACAACAGCAAGGACTCCTCAGCCACGATTTCAGACCTCTCAGCCTTTCTAATCTAAGCCCCAAACCTTCCAATCCAAGACTCATATCTCCCATCCAATATAAATCTCCCATATTCAGTCAAAAACTTCTCATAATCAAATGCCTCCTTATCAGTTACCTCTATGTGTTAAACTACCGCCTGAACATCGAAATTCCGTTCACTCCCACCCCATTGCTCACATCAACTCCCATTCTCAGATTTCATCAAATTATGATTCAGCTCCTTATACATCACGGCGGGTAAAACTTCCATGTGATCCTCCTTGTCAGAAGAGCTATCCCTCACAAACTCCTGAACTAAATCCACCTGACAAACAAAACCCGATCGACTTAGTAAACTCCACCCTTGCCTCCTTCCTTATCCATCTCCAAAATACAATCAATCCATTCCCACAATCTAATCCCTGAATGACCTTTCTTCAGATCCAGGTCCAGTTCTACTTCCATTACACTCAACCTTTGATCCTTAGTCCTACGTTTATTACAACATGAGTAAGCTGGCAAAAATGTCATAATGATTTGGAAAATAAAGTGGACTTAAATATTTCACTCAAGACAAAACATGACATTGACACAACCATAGAAATACTTGCAATATCTAAGAGACAAAATAAACGATAACACATCAACCAATAAAATAAACAACTATAATAGACCAACTTGCCAAAGTATATCGATTCTTATTAAGTGAAAAACGCATAGTAAGATCGAACAGGCACAGGACTTGAAACTCACTAGATAAAACATATTACGAGTTAACTAACCAACTAAAAGCAGAAATTAGAAGATACAAAATTTACTTAACCTAAGAAAATCTTATAACTACTGAAAAATCTCTATGGCTGACCACTAAAAAGCTCCTGAAATTCAATGATTTAAACCATGTGCATATTACAAAAACTCTCAACCTGATCCAGATCTGACACAGAAAAATTCCAAATATTTCCTCAGAACCACTTCAAAACCCTTAATCCAAACCTAGATATCCTGAAACCAATCTCACTCCAATTGACCCTTCCACCTAAACCATTTCATCCTTAAAAAAATGTCAACATCATTCATCGTTAACCAACGCACAAAACTCCAGGACAGCACCTTATTACACTCCACATCTTAAAGCTTCTCACTCAATCTTATTCTGAACCTACATATACAATACTGCAGTCAGATCCGCCTATTTTCCTGTCCCTTGGAAGTTTCCTATTATAAAAATGATTCCAAAACCCAAAAAAATCACTTAAATACACATCTATCTTCCTGTCTACCTCACTTTTACCCATTTTAGGAAAAATCCTAGAAAAACTAATTCGGAAACACCTATATCCCATCCTTTCATTTTAATTGTGTAATCCCAGATCACCAGTTTTGATTTCGAACATATTATTTAACTATTCAGTAATGTCATCGTGTGGTAGAAGAAATCTCCTCTGCATTGGAGCGCAGGTTATAGTGCATGGATTACTTTCTTGACAAAGAACAGGAATTTGATCAAGTATGGTATCCGGGACTGCTTTACAAACTCCTGTCCCTGACATAATTTCTCATTATCCGTTCCTACCTCTCAGACAGATCATTTAAGGTAAACCACAATGGTGTCTGTCCATTGATCCTTTCTCAGTCTGCTGGTGTTTCTCAAGGTAGTATCCTCGGTTCCATCTTCTACACAGTTTATATAGGCGATATTTTAACTCATCCTAACACCATCATTTCCACTAAAGCTGATAATGCAGAAGTATTATCAGTTAATAATAACCCACTTATTGCTCTCAATATTGTCCCCTAGATGGGACGAATATTGCAAGGTAATCAAGCAGATGGCTGAGGATATCCTCAGAGAACGGGCGAGAGAATCTAGAACGCAGTGGCTTGATAAAGAGTGTAAAGTAGCTAACAAATGAAAGGATGTGGTGTATAAAAGAATGCTTTAGAGAAGAAGCACGCGAGCCTCTCTCGAAGAGTACCGCCGACTGAGGATGGAAGAAAAACGTCTCCATAAAAAGAAGAAGAAATGGAAGAATAACAAAATTGCGTCGATAGAAAGCCTTAGGTTTGATAATCAGATTAGAAAATTCTATCAGAAAGTTAATACGGCAAGGAAGCCATTCAATTGTGCGACTTTTCATTTTTGAGCTATCCAGTTCATATAAATACAAACAAATCATTTTTTTAAAATGAGAAATGTTTATTTCTATTGAATACTTTGATTAAAAAAAATGTTTATTATAATACTTTGCTAAATATTTGTTCTTTAAGTAACAGTCAAGTATTTGTTTTACATAATAAATGTGGCTTGACATGAAAAGAGACATGTTATGGTTAAACACTTATTTTTCTTTATCAGCATAAATTTAGTTTTGAAATGAGGTATGTACTTCTTAATTCAATTAATTATATTAATGAGACTAAAAATAAAAATGTGAGATGAGCAATGTCTAATTTGTTTGTTAGCTGTACTAGACTTATTGTAAATATTGAATTGATTTACATTTTCTAATGAAAAAAAAAATTACTAGATTTATTTTAAGAAGTTTTAAGGTAGGTGCAGCCAAATAAGAAAACACAGATAAATAGAACTTATTTATAATGTGTGAGGAGATTTTTGTAAACAGTATGAAAGTAGCTTGAAAAATTAAATGCAGCTGACACTGAACTCCAAAGCAAGGATTTGATAACGGAATATAAATTTTCTTCAAAAATAAATTTGATGCAGAAATCAGATATCCCAATAAAAGAAAATGAGAAAATCAACAATTTTGTAAAAGACAAGTAAACTCAAATAATTTAATCAACAAATAAAACAAAACTTTCAGAAATGATACTTCGCAGATACATCATGATAAAGTACATAAAAATAAAATGTCCTAAGTACAACTAAACTAGTAAAACCTACATTATCTAGAAGAAAGAGATGTGAAAAGCAATATTAAGAACATACAAGGAATACTGAACAGCTAGGGAACGGAAAACCCATTCAGAATTGATTTAATGATACAAATAAATACTGAAAAAAATAAAAAATCCATTTTGGACTACAACTGAAATTTCTCATAAATGAAATTGATCATATGAAGTATTTTTAAAAAAACAAAGAAAGTACACATTAATTTTATTTGGGACATTAACAATAAGGAAATCATTTCCAATATTTTTTAATAAATATGTAGACATAAATTTATCCCAAGTTAATGTATTTTAAATAATTAATTTGCCAAGATGTAAACAGTTTAATGTTAAAACTAAAACATAACCTCAAAGCCCTACAACAATAAAATACAAAATTACTTGAAATATTTAATAAAAATTAATGGCATACAAAACTTGAGGTAAATCCAAAATACAATACGCCATGCGACAAAAGAGCCAATTGAAAATCCCTACTGAATGAAGAGTTACAACAATGGTAGTATTTGCTCAAAAACAATAATATATCTTATTATTCATTCACTAATCCATACTCCAACAGTTAAATATTAATGATAAGTTTGAATTAAACCTCCAATAAAGCATCTAATATAAAAATTTAAAACAATTGTTACCATATTTGAATTATTAAAGTGGTGTTTTTCAATTGCTATGTGATGATCCATGGTGTTTACCTATACTCCATACAAAATTTTACAAAGTGAACAGAACATAAATTATAATATAGGCACTTCTACAAAGTTTTGAAACCTCTCCGGTTTTGACAAATGTAAACAAAACAATAAGAAGTACAAAGGTGAACACCAGCGTTACTCGCTGCAAAGAGCAATTTGACAGACAGTTTTCCGTGACGTAGTTGGCCCATTATCTTCTATAGACAGTGATTGAACCATATTTGTTTCAAATTTCCCTTTTGGTTAGTCAGATTTTCCCTTTTTTCCCCCTCAGGACGAACTTCAAAATCCCTTCCGCCCAAATATATACAAAATAATACGTAATTTATAAGTTACTATTCGTTATATGTCCGTTTTACCTATAATATTAATAAATATATTAAACTGTGCTCAGATTAGGCTTGTTTGATAAAAATTGTTTCCCTTATTATCTCCTCCCAAATTTGATATTTCCCTAAAAATGGAATTTTTTCACCGAAGTGGAAATCCTGCTTATCGTGCACTCTTGACTAAAGAACACCATACACAGTCAATATTATTGAAGAATTATTGGCATTGGGGACACAGGATAGGCGTGTGCCAATAGATAAATAATTATGAAACGAAGAAGTGGCAGTAACAGCCAAAGAAAAGAAGGAATTATATAATAAGTGGTTTTCCAACCATGACCTTATTGTGTTACAAGAACATTAAATAAGCAATAGAGAGGTGAAACGGATAACGAAGAAAGCTATAAATAAGTTATGGAATAAAAACTGTAAATATATTTAATGAATTGAGCATGGCCAGAGACGGCAAACAGTGTACATCGTTCCAATTCTCTTCTTTCTCTTTTATTTGTGTACATTTAATTATTACGTAATTTTTTATTTATAAAAATATTTTTGGTTTTTAATCCGGCATAGCCGCATCTATCATTTTTACTTCGCTTCATAAAACATAGAAGAAAGTACGTGTAAGACCTGCTGCAGACCGAACAGAGATAGCTAATCCTTCTGAGCGGGAGAGCATTATAGGCCAACAACAAGCGTTTATTCACAAGTAGCACCTTTCAAAAAAATGGTGCACTGCTCAATTTGTGACGGCCATATCTCTAGAGACGATAAAAGTAATTTGTGACGTAATAAACACCGCATAATTTTGCACGGAAAATGCTGGAATAACAATGAAAAGGAGATAGAAGTTCTGAAATTTAAAAAAAAAAAAGAACATAGGTATGTAAAAAATGTGACCAGAGTAATAAGACTGCCCAAGCTAGACATAAGTCACCTAGTCCATCCAGATCTGCGCATGCGTTAGCCCTAGTTAAACATACATCAGGTCGTCTCCTATAAAAATCTCAAATATCATTGGCAGTATACAAGTTTAATGTGAACAATTAGTGTTATCAGTTACATTAAGTGTTATCAGTTACGTTTGATACTGGCCAAAAAAATAAGGTGAGTAATCACTTATTTACAACACAAGAGTGAACAGTGTAAATAGACCTTAGGTTAGTTAGATAACGGCCAGCCATATACATCGTTAATCCCACTAGTGGGCTGGAGCCCTCCTTTGGAGGAACGTCTGTGCTGATCAGTCCTCTCCAAGCGCGACTCTATATTTTCGTGTTCAATAATTTTTTTTTTTTCCTCGTTTCACTTTTGTCAATTTTTCGTTTAAAAATTAATATGAAATGCTAATGTCGAGTAAGGGCAAAAACACTAGGTCCAGGAGCCACGATACTACAATGAGTTCTCTCATTAAAAAAAAGACAAGGCGTTCGAAAAGAAACACTCCACCAGCCACACCAGGGAGCTCCATAGAAGAAATGGAAACCCAACCTGGCCCCTCACAACAACCCAACAATTATGAGACTACTCAAGCTATGGGTGAAGAATCGCCGTTTTTCACTTCAAATCCATTTCAAGTGCTTTCAAATACACATAACGAACAAATGGAATCAGCATCCACCCCCAGAGAACCCAACCCCCCACCAATATTTGTTAGAAATATTAAAAAATTTCAATTGATATGTCATCAATTGAATAATCTAGTAGGTTCAGGAAATATTTATGCTAAAGCCGCACAAATGACACTAAATTAATGCCCGACATTCCAGAAACTTATAAAATATTTATCTGACACCAAGGCTGATTACCACACGTATCCACTGCGTCAAGAGAAGGCGCTCAGGGTCGTTATCAGAAGACTGCACCCATCTACGCCAACAGATGCTATAAAAGAAGAGCTCATGGGTATGGGATTCCATGTTCGCCAGATAGTGAACATATTCAAGGAGGATAGAGAACAGCCTGGAATAAAAAATAAAAATACCTCTTCCACTATTCTTCGTTGAACTTGACCGAACAACCGATGTCGAAAACATCTACAAGGTCACAAACCTCAAGAATTCACACATCAACCTCAAGACCCATATCCCTCCATCCCTGAACGTAGGTTAAATACCCATACATTCATTCCTCCTCCTTCCAATTCCAGTGACCTCACAAGCCTACTGACATCTTTCCTTTCCGAACTTAGATCTCTCATTACCCCTCTTATTTCGCTACTTACCAATGTTATGTCCAACCTCATTCCACTGCCAAGAAATCCATAAATGTCCTCAAACAAATTCCTCTCCATTATCCTTTGGAATGGGAATGGTACTCGGAACCACATGAAAGAACTGACAATCTTATTACATGACAAAAACATCGACATAGCACTAATAACTGAAACTCGACTAACCAACAAACGACAAATCAACGTTCCCGGCTACAATATTTATCAAACCGACCATCCTGATGGAACAGCACATGGTGGCACTGCCATAATTATCCATCGATCCGTTTCCCATCATTTGTTTCCCTTACCAAGCCATAATTTCCTAAAATCCATAGCCGTAATAATCCAAACACCCCTTTACCCAATAACACTAATTGCGGCATATTCCCCGCCTAAAACACCCATTTCCGAATCCCAAATAATTTCCTTCCTGAATTCCTTAGGATCTAAATGCAAAACACCAGCAATGGGGAGCCAGATCCACAAATTTCCGAGGGCGAACATTGCTATCTGCACTTAATTCCCATCGCAGCAACATCCTTTCACCTAATACTCCACATACTGGCCAACATATCCCAACCGCAATCCCGACCTTCTAGACTTTTTCCTACACAAAGGTTTAGGATCACTACACTGTTCCATTTCAAGGTTTGATGATCTTTCCTCAGACCATAGTCCTCTAATCCTAACCGTTTCCACATCTCCCATTCCCAAATCATCCCCACCTTCATTTATCAGGGGGCCAGTTAACTGGAACCTTTTCCGTCAAATACTGGAAGATAATATAGACCTCAGAGTTTTCTTAAAAACACCTGAAGACCTCGACGATGCAGTGCATTCCTTCACTTCCCTGATCCAGCAAGCAGCTTGGACTGCATCATCACCTGATCGTCCCAAAAAATACCATAACATAAATTCTTTACCTCAAGACCTAATGGACCTTATCCATAGCAAACGTTGCTCTAGGACCCTTTGGCAAAGAACCAGGCATCCTGATGACCGGAAATCGTATAATTATTATTCCAAACAGGTAAATAAGAAGCTGGATACCTTTAGAACCCAATCCTGCAATTCCTACCTCTCCTCATTATCCGCTAGTGATAACTCCCTCTGGAATGTAACCAAAAAACTCCTTAAATTCCAGTACATTTCCCATCCACTTCGCCGTCATGATGGTTCCTGGGCTTCATCAGATGCAAACAGAGCAGAAGAGTTTGCTAGAACATCTATCCTACACATTCACCCCTCATCCCGAACTCCATCCCACCCACACTGCTGAAGTTGAAGAATTCCTCTCTTCACCAATTCCTCTATCTCTGCCTCCAAAACCTGTTAACCCCTCTGAGGTCATATTCCTTATAAACAAATTAAAACCCCAAAAATCCCCCTGGATATGATCTCATTTCACAAATCTTCAGACAACTTCCCAAAAAAGCAATCATATTCCTTACCTATCTATACAACTGCATCCTTCGTACAACCAACTTTCCTTTGGTGTGGAAACACTCCATAATCATCCTGTTTCCAAAACCAGGTAAACCTGTTAATAACACATCATCCTATAGACCGATAAGCTTACTCCCGATCCTCTCAAAAATCTTTGAGAAAATCCTTCTCAAACGCATCCTACCCATAATCGTATCCCACAACATCCCTTCTCATCAGTTTGGATTCCGCTCAAGACATTCCACTGTCCAAAAAGGCCTTCGTGTTGTGGACCATATATCCTCTGCACTTGAAAACAAGCATTATTGCACTGGTGGCTTTCTGGACGTAGCGCAAGCTTTCGACTGGGTGTGGCACGATGGCTTGCTTTTCAAGCTCAAAACCCCTTTACTCCAATCCTTATACCTAGTCCTCAAATCTTACCTCTCAAATCGTTCCTTTCAAGTCCGTTGTGACACCGAATTCTCCACTTACTATCCAGTTGAGGCTGGGTTTCCACAAGGTAGTGTCTTGGGCCCAGTTCTCTACATCCTCTTCACTTCCGATATCCCTTCAAATCCCGATACATTTCTAGCTACATTTGCTGATGATACTGCCATTCTATCCTCCCACTCAGATCCTCAAATAGCATTTCTAAACCTACAATCTCACCTCTCCTTGATCGAGCAGTGGTGCAACAACTGGCGCATCAAAATCAATGAATCAAAATGCAAACATATCACTTTTACCCTGCGACGCAGATCCTGTCCGCCAATCCTTTTTAATTTAATTCCACTTCCCTACTCAGACACAGTTACCTTGGCTTCCTTCTAGACAAAAGACTAACTTGGAACCCACATACCAGACTTAAAAGACAAGAACTTAACTGGCGATATGGCCAGCTGTATAGATTACTAAGTAGGACATCTCATCTTTCGATTGAAAATAAACTTGAAAGAACTTACCAGAATAGCCCAATGTATGATACCAAAATAGTAATAGGAGATTTGAATGCCCAAATTGGAAAAGAGGATTTTATTAAAAATGTTGCCGGTGCCCATTCCATACATAATGTGACAAATAAGAATGGTGAATTTCTATTTCAATTTGC